TCACTGCACCGGAGGTTTCCAGCCTGGATCTACCCCTCGGAGCTTTCTGAGGGAGGGGCTGCCTGCAGGCCAAGAAGGAACTGTAGCAACCCCAGCCCTAAGCTCATCAGCATCTTGTCTGTGGGCTGTGAGTTGAGTGACCCAAATGCCCTAAAATCCCACCGGCTCCTGGCCTCTTGCTGCCTCTGCCCCAGCCACTGCTCACAGTGTCCCCTCAACCTCTGCCATTCTCCCAGAATCCCCCAGCCCACCAGGCCCTTTCCATCTTTTAGAAATTTGTCTCCAACTGCCCACACAGTTCCCTTCCTAGGCCCAATCCCAGCAGGCCTTGGTGTTTGCTGCTTTCTAGGTCACCACAGAGGGAGCTGGAAGCTTGGGGATGTGGGTCAAGATTGTGGGGGCCGCGTTGAGCACACCACATCCCCAGGCACAGACTTCACGGGCTGCAGACTATTATGGCCTCAGTCTCAGGATTGTTCCTACCGCTTAGAGACTGGGCAGAGGTGCATGGAGTGGCACGGGGGTGTTGACCAAGCCCGGCAATAGGGCAACAGGGGCGGGCAGGGTCGGGGTGAGCAGTGAGCCCTAAGCCCTCTGGGCACTTCTCCAGACACTGAAAGGGACAAATCCCCTGGGCCCTGGCCCAAGGGCTCTATGCCTTCTGCCTGGGGTTGTAGCTGAAAGACACTGTGTCCAGTACCAGGTCCTTGGAGAAGTAAGCTCCCGGGCCAGGGAATGTTAAGCTGCTGTTGTGCCCGCCTGGTCTTGTCCGGCTTGGTACCCTCTGGCCTGGGGCCAGCCTCTGGGGCGCCAGCACCTTTGGACAGCTTCAGAGCCAAATCTGATCAAGAGTCTACCCCCTGCTGCTTCAGCCCTGGTCTGGCCCCCAGCAGGCAGGCCTGTAGCCTTCAGCCTTTGACCTAGGCCCCTGGGGGGGAGGGGGAGCTCTGACTTAGGCCCATGAAAGGAGGCTGGGGGCTGGGCCACAGCCTCTCCAGCTGCAGGGGCTGGTTCTTGGGCCCGGCTGACCCGGCCTTCCTGGGTGTCCCCCTGGCAGCCGTGCAGCGCATTGCCGAGTCTCACCTGCAATCCATCAGCAACCTGGGCGAGAACCAGGCCTCGGAGGAGGAGGATGAGCTTGGGGAGCTGCGGGAGCTGGGCTACCCAAGAGAGGAAGAAGAGGAGGAGGACGATGAAGAAGAAGAGGAGGAGGAGGACAGCCAGGCTGAAGTCCTGAAGGGCAGCAGGGGGCCTGGTAAGCTGAAGGGGCTGTGAAGCTGGGTCCCACCACCATGGGCCAGGCGGAGTCCTCCTTGCGTGTCCTAGGACCCACCCCTCCCAGGTCACAGTTTCTCCCACGTGTAAAGTGCAATCACTCTCACCCCACAGGATACCTCACACTCAGCCTTACCTGACACCTGGGAAGCTCACATCTTGACTCAGCCCCTCTCCCAATCAGGCTTTTCCTAATAATTCCTCTCTTCCCTGAGAATTAAGGCAAGGCCACATGAACTTTGCGCCTGGACCCAAGGAAGGACTTCCCATCCATGGTGGTGAGGGGCGCAAGGAGATGCAGGGATAGAGGACTAAGAGCGTCCATGGTCCCATCACTTGCACTTCTGAACGTAGGATGGGGTCTCCGTTGGGAGGCAGAGGGGGCTGGTAAGTCCTCTCCAGGACTCAGGGACTGGTTCTCCTCTTTTATTTCCTAAGCTGGGTGAGAGGGTGCCCTCTAGTGTCTAGACAGAGGACCTAGGATTCAAGAATCGTCTGGTCCTCCCCACCTCCAGCCCCAGCTACCTGGGAAGAGAGAGAAGAGAGAGGGGCCTAAGACCTACAGAGAGGGCCTCAGGGCCAGAGGCCCCAGATCCAACCATTCCCACGGGGGCCCCAAGGCCCAGAGGATTTCTCGGCAGGGAGATCCCAGGCCTGCATGGCTCTGTCCCATGCCCAGACATGGAAGGCTGCACCACATCTGCTCCTCCAAGTGCACATGACACTTGTTGGTCCCATTATTCACGGGGGTGAAAACAATTGACTGTCCCTGCTTGACGTGTCCAGTCTTTACACCCAAACAAGATGTCTTGGGCCTTCTCTCTGCATCTCTGGCCGTCAGGACATCAGCCCATCAGCCATGGGAGCGAAAGCTCTAGCTGGAAGAGTTAAGTCAACTCCCGCTGAAACCTCCAGAACACGTAGAAAGAATAGAGGAGATTGTTCCCTCCAGAAATGCAACAGGGCAGTGGGTTGAACGACAAGACTCCTGAGGAGCTATATCAATTGCCACCACTCCCAGAGTGGCTCCCGGGTGCCAGCGCTGGGTTGGGCAGGGTATCCCTTATCTTATTGAAGGTAATCTACACAATTTCACTTTTACCATCCCCCTTCAGAGAGGTAATACACTGAACTATCTAAGTCAGCGGTCGCCAATCTTTCGGACCTCACGGACCACCAGTTGGCGACCGCTGATCTAAGTCATATGGCTAGTTATGGGCAGAGCTGTCCTCGTCCACTGTTCTCTCTGCTATACCATGATGGCCTCAGAAAGCTTAGCCTCGGCCATCAGAGACTCAGCTCCTGATCCAGGACAGTCAGGTGGACACTCAGAGTCTGGTTTCATCCTTTTTCCCCTCGTCCCCAGTTGGGCAGAAGACAACTTGTGGCCAGGGTCTGGAGGGGCCCTGGGAGCGCCCGCCCCCTCTGGATGAGCCCCAGAGAGATGGAAGCTCTGAGGACCAAGCGAAAGACCCCGCACTAAGCGGTGAGGCTTGGGAGTGGGGTGCGGGGAGGCGGAGCTGGGATCTTGGTAGGCGTGTTCAGGCCTTGAGTCCTTCTGCTTGTCTTGCAGAGCCTGGGGAAGACCCACAGCGCCCTGCCCACCCTGAGCCTGGCACATAGGCACTCAGCTCTGCATCTCCCAGAAGGAAGTGGAGGGGGCATCACTGTTCCGCAGAAACCCTCTATCCCCACCCTGTTTTCTACCCTTCCCCTCACTCGCTAGGGCTGCGGCTTCTGACTTCTAGAAGACTCAAGCTGGTCTGTGTTTGCTTGTTTGCCCACTTTTGGCTGATGCCCAGAGTCCTGGGCACTTGCTGCCTGATGCCTACCCCTGCCAGTTATTCCCCTATTCACCCAGTGGGATGCAGGATGCGGGAGAAATTGCTTGGAAAATCCAGTAATCGAGGGACAGAGGTCCATCCTTCACCATTCTACTTCCAGACCCTCTCCCTTGGGCACAGGAAAACCACAGGGCAGGACCCTAGGATCTGAGGAAGTGGGTACAGAGAACCTGTAGGTGCCCTAGATCCTTCTCCATCCCCTCCTCCGATGGGGGATTCCCAGTCACCGCCCGGCTTCTACCAGGGCTGAGGATTCAGGCACCCTTCTCCGCAGTCTCTTCATTTTGGAAATCTTCCCCTGTCACCCCTGTTCCCTAGCCTGGGTGCCTGGAAGACGGACTGGCAGAGGCTGCTTTGTTGCGTTTTGTTTGTGCTTTGATGCCAGGAATGCCACCTAGTATACATCCTTGGGGGGGGCACATGTTGGGGGGAGCCAGGTTCTTCTTGTCCTCCTGCTGCTCTGCCCCCTTCCCCTCTTCCCTGACTCCAGACCTGAACCGCTCCTGTGCTGTAATAAATCTTTGTAAATAACTGTGTGGAGACTCCTTTTTTCAGGGACAAGGAAAGGGAGGAGGTCCCCTCCCCACGTGGAAGACCTGGTTGGTGTTCATCCAAGAGTCAGGGCCTTGCCCTAGCCAGTTTGGCTCAGTGGCTAGAGTATTGGCCCTTGGACTGAAGGGTCCCGGGTTCGATTCAGGTCAAGGGCACGTACCTCGGTCGCAGGCTCCATCCCCGGCCCCAGGTCAGGTGTGCGTGCAACCAATCCATGTGTCTCTCTCACATCGATGTTTCTTTCTGTCTCCTCCTCCCTTCCACTCTCTGTAAAAATCAATGGAAAAATATCCTTGGGTGAGGATTAAAAATAAATTAATAAATTAAAATGTAAAAAAGTAAATAAATAAAAGAGTCAGGGCCTCGACCCTACTGTCCAGTCCTCTAGTCCAGGAGTCCTTCCTGCAGAAAGCAAGCCCGGGGCACTCTTAGGAACGACCACAACAGTTCTAGGTGCTGCTAGGGAGGCTGAAAGGCTGGGGAGGGAAGAACAGAAGTGTTTCAAGAGTAAAAGTGTGGATCTCTCCAAATCCTGTTCTCGGGGCACCACAGGCCTCTGTTCAGGAAGTTCCCTCTTTCCCACTGCGCCAGGCCTATGTGGCCCAATGAAGAGCTTCTTTCCCATCCCCCACGCTCAGGAAGACCCTCAGCAAGTCTAACTTCAGCAGCAGCCCCCACTTCCGGCCCCTGGGGCTGGGGCTGGAGGACTAGGGGGCGGGGCTTCAGCCGCGCACGCCCCCGTTCGCTCTCCGGGGCGGACTCAGCGGCGGAAGTGGTGCCGTCGCGAGATCCCCTTCCGCTCAGAGGCGCCGCCGGGGCCGTGGTGCTGACTCGGCTGGGACCGAAGAGCCGGGCCGGTGGCTGACATGCAGCAGGTGGGTCCAGCAGAGGTCCCTGGGGCTGGGTAGTGCCGCCGGGTTGTGTCTTGCTAGAGGATCCCGCCTTCCTGCCCGGCGTCCGTTCTTGGTTCCGTCCGACCCTGCCCACACCCCCCCGCGTCCCAGGTTCCGCCCCCTTCCTCTGCTCGGCTTCCCTCCGTCCACCGCGGGGTCGGCGTCTCTGGCCCTCCTCGGCCCGCCCACTCGAGAGGGCCTGGAGGAGGCGGCCCGGGGCGCCCTCCAGAGCCCCCCGGAGACTGTGAGGGAAGAGGCGAGGGGAACGGTATCTGGGTATTCAGGGCAGGAGTTGGATATGGGGAGGGGTCAGAGTTTCCTAAGGAGGAAAAGGTCTACGCGTTCCGGTAGGTCTGCGTCTGCCTGACATCCGGCCTCTCAACTTCCTTTGCAGTGACTTTCTGATTGACAAAAGAAGGGCCCTTTAAAGTGTCTTTCTCGAGTTCTTACAGGTGCATAACCACAGGAACACTCCTTCCTAACTGCATAATTGACAGCTGCCCTCCTCCCATTTTGGGGGGTTCCTCCCCGGCAGCAGCTCCTTGTTTTTTTCCTGCTGCTCTGACAGTGCAAGTGCCGGTTCCCATTCTCTGCTCCAGCCCCTCACTCTGTCACCGAGTCTGGACGGTCTCATCTACTCCCAGGGCTTCGGCGTTACACCACTTACCTACCCGCGACGCGCCCAGACCTGCAACTTAAGGGCAGCCCTCCCTGCAGCCCCAGACTCGGCCACCCCGCTTCCTGCCACATTGGCAGCTGCGCTTCAGCTGGAGCGCATGGCATTTGAACTTGAAGGGCCTTTTCCCCTGCAGACTCATTCTTCCTCTGCCACGCCCCATCCTAGCGGGAAAAACTTGGGCAACATCTTAGCAATTCCCACATCTAAGAGGAGACCTAGCCCCGCGAACTTCCTTCTTTTTCTGTTACCACTTTTGTTGGTGTGTTTCTCACCAGATGATTGCAGTGGCTTCCCAGCAACTTCCAATCCTGGCTGCCTGCACCCACTCTCCAAACTGTAACTCTTGTGATCCCTTTAAAACACAAGTCTCACAGTGTCACTACCTTGCTTACCACCCTTTGCTGGCTTCCCATTACCCATGGGAAAGGCTGAGTTCCCAGCGCAGTTTGCAGTGCTCTCTCTGATCGGAGTCTCCTGTGGGCACCCTAAGGTGCAGTAACATGGCACTGCAGGCTGCACTTGCCCACACCTTGCTATTTCCTGTTTCTTTGTTTTTGCAGACACCAGCCCCTCTACATAGAAAGCCTCTTCTCTTATCTGCCTGGCTACCTTCTACTTGTCCGTCAGAGTGCTCTGCTCCGGTAGCTCCGCCCCTGGGTCACCCTTCCCTCAGCCCCTAAGACTGGATACTCCTGCTCTATGTCCCTGCAGCACCCTGTCCATAATAGCATGGTGGTTGAGAATGCAAATTCCTGAATCAGGCTTCCTGGGTCCTGATACTGTTTTGTGACCTTGCTGAAGCGAGTGCCTCAGTTTTCTCATCTGTAAAATGGAGATAGTAATGTGCCTCACAGAATGATTGGGAGGGTTAAATGAAATAATGTGTGTATCGGGCTTAAAACAGTGAGCCTACCAGTGGATAGAGCGTCGGCCTGCGGACTGAAGGGTCCCGGGTTCGATTCTGGTCAAGGGCATGTACCTGGGTTGTGGGCACATCCCCAGTGGGAGATGTGCAGGAGGCAGCTGATCGATGTTTCTCTCTCATCGATGTTTCTGACTCTCTATCTCTCTCTCCCTTCCTCTCTGTGAAAAATCAATAAAATATATTTAAAAAAAAAAACAAAAAACAAAAAAAAAAAAACAGTGAGCCTACGAGTGCTCAATAGATGTTATCTATTATTGTTTATGTAAAAACAATATAGAGCAGTGGTGATGGCTTTTAATTTCATAAGCTGCTTGAGGGCAGTTGGTGTGGCTTACTTACTCTGTCCCAGAGCCCAAAAGCCTGGCTTTTTGTCAAGAAGTTAAATACTGTGGTGGAGGGCATTGGGGGCAGGAGCTGGATTTATCGAGTGAGGATTTCAGAGTGAAAAAGACCCAGACCTGATGTCTGTCTGCTCAATAAATGAACTTGGAAATGGATGTTACATGGCAAGCAGGAGTTCTAGAGAAATGTGCGCAGAGCTCTGGGAACCCAAGGCAGAGAAAGGCCAAGGATGGTTTTGACAATTAATGGGTCCTCTAAACTGAGTTCTTGTGGGGGAGAGGATGCTGAGCTGGGCAGAAGGGCAGAGGCACCTCCTGCTGAGATTGGGGATTCCTTTCCTGGATTGGTCAAGTGAGGAAGAGCCCCTTGGGTTAGGAGCCTGCAGGCGCCTTGCCCTGGGGTGGTCCAGAGGCCTGGTACCAGGTATCTGGGGGCAAGCCCCCTGGGGTAGGCTCAGCCTGTGGACAGGGTCTGTGCTTTAGACCAGAGGCTGGGCCTTTGCTCAGGTTGTTTGGCTTGCCTGGAATGCTCATCCTCCTTGCCTCCAGGAATAGATGCATAGATGCTTCAAGGCCTAGGTCAGATGGCTGCTGCTCCCTGTGGCTTTCCCAACCTCCTGCGCTCGAGCCTGGGTCAGATGCTCCTCTTTCTGGAGCCCACAGTCCTCTTTTTGTTCCTTCTTCCCTAAAAGCGCTGATCACAGCGTAGCACTGTTTATTATTTATCTGTCAGCCTCCCTTACCAGACCAGGACCTGCTGAGTGTCCCCAGGGACCAGCCATGTCTGGCACATTGTAGGCACTAGCATGTGTGTGCTGCATTCATTTGGGCTCTCTCACACTTAGGCTTTTGCAGGTAAGACAAAAATCCTGTACATTTGACAGCTCATACTTGTTCTATCGCGTGGCAGAGATTGTTGGCTCCATTTTATAGATGAGCAAGTTGAGACGTGGCAGGGAAGGGTCAGGTCACTCATGAAGGACTTAAGAACTACCTCCTGACTCCAGGTCCGTAGTTGTGTTCTCAGAGTCCTAGCCCCCAAAATAGCAGCCACATTTTCGGGACAAGGGACAGGGAGGCCATCACATCTGATCAATTGTGTATCCCCATCGTGAACTTTTTCTGGCTGGTAAGTGACTGATCCTGGCTTCTGTCTCATCAGGGCTGGTGCTGGGAGGAGTCTGAGTGGCACCACCCCCACCCCTGCAGGGGACCTTCCCTTGAGTGGGCTGATGGGGACTGAGATCTTTCCCGGAAGATGACTGGCCCTTTCCAGACTGACCTCGAGGACTTGATCTCATTAGCCCCAGGTTTTATCCAACAGAAATAAGGGTTTGGGGTAGGGCCTGACTCACCAGCCCCCGAGTAGGCCAGGGTCATAGAATCACGGAGCTGGGGGCATCCTGACATTTAACAGGGCCTGGCACGTGGAGGGGGCAGGAGGGCTGAGTGGATCTCCGTTTGTTAGGGTTTTCCAGTAAACTGTTCCGTCAGAACCTCTGGGCTGGGGAGGGGAGCGGGTAGTGATGACTGTAGTTTCTGTTTTGGTTGACTCTTTCCTGTCCACTTCCCCCAGAAGGAAGGGAGAAACGGGACTCTGGCCTCGGCTTTGCAGTCTCATTTGTCACTGCCGCCGTGTCCTCTCTTTGAACTCCTACTTGTCCAGGAAACTTCCCAAACCCTCGGTGGGTGGGGCAGAGTAGGGGCCAGTCAGCCAACTGTCCCGAGGCTGAGGGCACGGGCCATCGAGCCTGGACTTACAGGAGGGCCTAATCTGTGCCATCCTGGGTCAGCTCCCTGAGCCAGAGCCCATCCTCCGCCCCAGCAGTACCGATGGAGCCCTCCGTTTGGGCAGCCGTGCCGTGTGCTGGGCCTGCCTGCACATGTCCGGCCCAGTGCCCCGCCTCTAGCCCTGTACCCACGGCCCCTAATGGTAGTAATAGCTGCTGTTAATGAGGCACCAGCACTTGGCATGTGTTATTTCTAATCCCTTTTAAGGGCTCTGTGATGTGGGCACTATGTTGTCCTGACCCCGTTATTTAGATGAGGAGACTGAGGTTCAGAGAGAGATGTGGTTAAGGGCCAGCCCAGTAAAAGACGGCCTGGGGTTTTTGACTCATGCCCTTTCCCCTGTTGCAGGGT